TATCTAGAGCCCATTTGTGAATAAATAATAAAATTGGGACCTGGGGACAACTAAGCATATAATCTAGAATCCAAAAGTGACACTGAGTCCTGGCCCGGTGACTCAGTTGGTTGGATCATTGCCTAATGCATCAAAAGGTTGCAGATTCCATCCCCGGTCAAGACACATATGGGAAGCTATCCATTGATGTTTCTCACATCAATGTGTGTGTTTTTTCTCTGTCTCTCCCTTCCTCTCTCTCTCAAATTAATAAACATATCCTTGGATGAGGATTTATTAAATATCTGACAATACCACCAGAGAGAAAGGGGATCAAACTGAAGCCTGAGCTTGCTAGACTTGAGGTTGCTGAAACCATGGTCTAAAATCCAGCTGGAAGAGAGCAGGCTTTGATAATACTCTTGAAAACTGAGAACATGGTCTAGAATCCACAGTAAGACAAGGCAACACTGGGAGCCTCATGGAACTGAGTGCATGGTCTAGAACCCGCCAGAGGGAGAGATGGACTTGATGATTCCCTATAATAATTGAGAATTGGTCTAGAACCCACCAGTGAAACAGGATAAAATGGGAGGCCTGGTGGAACTGGAAACATGGTCTAGAACCCATCAGAGAGAGGCTCACCCCTGAATCTGGGTCTTGAGAATGTGATCTGGACACCAGGAGGGAAAGGGAGTCTCAAAATGCAGCTTGAGGCATCCAGAATTTAGTGTAGAATCCATAGACAGATTTGCAACAAAACCCAAAACCTGATTTCTCAACTTCATTGCAATCAACTGCCTCTCTTGGTCTCAGCATCTTAATTGGGAGGCAGTCAGGCTGGAGGAGGTAAGGATGCATTTGCCTGGGGGATGTGGGACCACTTGCCTGGGTGGAGCCATAGCCACCTCCGTAGTATCTCTGCTCGTTGAGCCAGCGCACAACAGGAGGTATAGAGTCAAAGTCTTTGAGCAGCAGCAGAGCCAACAGGGCATAGGATGTGGCCTCCACATTGTAGAGCCTTTTGCCAGGCTCCTCCCAGCGGTTCTTATCTACAAGAGAGAACACCAGCCCCCATGCTCACTGCTCTGTCCAGCCTGGAGGAAGTTCAGAGAAAGCTCAGAAACAGACTTGTACTAGACCTCGGTGTTCAGGTGTCCTGGCCCACATTTGTGGCTTTCAGTCTACTGGTTCCTGCCTTGCTCTCTTCCCTCGTCAAACTTTACTCTTCTGTTTAAATTCTGAACTGCAGCCCCTCTGATCTATGGGAGCAGATTTCCTAAGTTTGCCATGTTCATTCTCACCTCTGAGCCTTTGCGTATTCTGTTCTCCCATCTTGGAGCACTTTTTCTCCACCTACCCCAGGTTAATTCTTATCCATCCTGCACAATTTGGCTTCAGTGGCACCCAAGACAGAGTGAGACCCTTTCTTCAGTCTCTTAAAGCATCCTGTGCTTGTCCTGTCCCAGCACTATGATGCTCTAGAGCAGTGATGGTGAACCTATGGCACGCTAGTCAGTGGTGACACGCGAACTCATTTTTTTTGGTTGATTTTTCTTTGTTAAATGGCAGTTAAAAATATATAAAATAAATATCAAAAATATGTCTTTGTTTTACTATGGTTTCAAATATCAAAAAATTTCTATATGTAACATGGCACCAGAGTTAAGTTAGGGTTTTTCAAAATGCTGACACGCCGAGCTCAAAAGATTTGCCATCACTGCTCTAGAGGAATCTATTAACTCATTTCTTTCCTCAACTGGAACGTGAGGCCATGATGGCAGGGGCTGCGACATATTCACTGTGATGTCCCAAGTGCCAAAGAAAGTACTCATGACAGAGACTGTCACCAAGAACCATTCCCTCCTCTTCCTGCTCACAGAGTGGGACTACATCTCCCAGAGGCCTTTGCAGGTAGGTATGGCCACATAACTGAGCTCTGTCTAATGGAAAGTGCAAAACAATGGACGGGGCCCCTTCCATGGCTAGTCTACCTCCCTTGCACAGTCTTCCTAACTGTTTCCCCTTCTGCTTTAATAGAAGGGATTCCGAGGCCCCGAGGTGGCAGAGCCATGAGAAGATAAAGTCTGGATCCCTGCATCACTGTATAGAGGAGAGCTGTCCACCAACTTGGGACACCCGCCCTGTGCTGTTACACAGCAAGAAACCAACTTCCCTGTGTTAAACTCTCAGTGTACACATTCAGATATCTTACAGAGGTGAGCATAAACCTGATAAGGTGTCATCACTTGAATCAGTGGTGAAGTGCTCACGATGTGCTACTTATTGTGCTAAAATTTCTTTGTCATTCTCTTATCTAATTCTAATAACCCGTGAAATAATGGTAATGTTATTAATAATACCAAAGGCAATAACAACATTAGTGATAGATCTCTAACTATTTGCTAGACCTTCTCCTACACTCATCACTCATTTAATCTTCACACCAATCTTGTGATGTCGTTATCATTTTATACACAATGTCCATAGAGGTTAAGTGGATTGTCCAAGATCACACCGTGAGAACGTGGCAGAGGGTGATTTGATTTTGAACTTGAATCTGTCTGATGTCAGAGCCCATGTCCTTGCTCCTGTGTCATAGCAAGTACTCAACAAATACTTGTTGAATCATGCAATGGACCTTTTGTGTCATGCTTACAATGAGGACTTTTCACACCCAGACCCACTCATCCCAGCTCAGCTTGGAGTCGTGCAGCCCAGCTTAAGATGGCCACCCTCAACCCCTAGCCACATATATCTCCTTACGCTGCCAGGCTGCCTCTCACCTGTGGCTGTTTTCAGAAATGTGTCGAGGAGAGGGCCCTCCAGCTTGCCCAACTGGGCCAGGGCATAGCCAGCAATGGCCACAGCATATGGTCTCTTCAAGTTCATGTAGTGTGCTTCAAGGAAGTCTCCAGCCTTATTGATGCTGCCCCCAAGGCTCTATGAGAAAAAGATTGGGTTCTCTGGTCAGGTGGCACTGCTGCCCCAGAGAGCTGACAAGGATCACACAATCACCACTTCCTGGGCATAAGGTTTCTGGCCTTGGTACATATTTGTCTTGGATCTGTCTATTTTTAAGGGTTCCCCAGACAGTTTAGCCACTGTGCACTGCTCTGTTGCTGAGTACCTATCATGTTCCTGGTGCAGTCTGTATACCAGTGGTGTGCTAGTAAATACTTAATAACCAGTTATCTAGTCAGTCAGGAGGTGGGGGTTAGGAGAGCTGGTTTATTGCTTGCCAATGACTGTCGTGTAAATACTTCCACCATGGCCAATTTCAAGCTACCAGTGTGACATACCTTAAAACAGAGTGGGAAAGAGATGCCCCTAATAGGCACCCAGGGGTAACACACCACTGGGTCCACCTATTATCTAATCATCATCGTCATTGTAGCTAACACTCACTATGTGCTAGTCATGTATCTACTCAATCTCCAAATCCTATGAGGTAGGTTTTATTTTCATCACCATCCCTACTGCACAGAGGAGAACACTGAGACCCATGAGATGAGTGCAGAGGCAGATATGCTTTGTAGTGATTTTTATAGTGTAAATACAACCATGGCTGATTTCAACCTACCAGCATGGAGTCACTGACTGTAGAATTGGGAAGAGATAATATAGTTTGTTCACCGTATATGTACAACAGACATAAATAACCTCAAGATCATGGATAATGATAAAAGGTAGTAAAATAATTAAGAAGTGATGAGTTTTGAGGGTTTACTACCTTTGTTGTTGTTTGTTGTTTTTTTCTTAATTGATTTTTAGGGAGGGGCGGGAAGAGAAAGAGGGATCAATTGGTTGTTCCACCTATCTATACATTCATTGGTTATTTCTGGTATGTGCCCCAACTGTACATTGAACTGCAACTTGGCATAAAGGGATGATGCTCCAATCAACTGAGCTACCTGGCCAGGGCTACTACCTTTGTTTTTATGTGTAGTGTTTAGACTAATTTACTTAAATGTAAGTTTATATACTTTCATATTTAATAATGATTGTGTTCAACAATCAACTTGCAATATTCCTGGAATACTAACCATTGGTTTTATTAAGCTAATTACAGCAAGCTCTTTATTTGAACCCCAGCAGTCTAGTTCCATAGCCTATGCCATATCCGTTATAATGTTGCTGTGTTGTAGTAGAAAATGTCACTATGTTGTAGGAGAAATTAATCCTTTTGTCTGCCCTCTGTCTCTCTTATATCTACCCTTGACTTATGTAGGACCTTCTCCTTCCTGTCATTTACATGGCCACAGTAGAACAGTCATATTTACCCAGGAAGACCTACTTCCTGGTCTCAGCTCATTGAGTCAGAAGTGATCACCTGACCCCAGGCTGAGCCAATCAGAATCCTTTCTTAAGAATCTGGAAGATCTAGCCTTGGGCTAGAAATTTCCCCAAGGAAGACAATTCTGTTCTGCCAGGTAGGCTGGGTGGCAGGAAAGCTGAATTATTGGGCAAAAGGGGCATGAAGGACACAGGAAAGAGGAACAAAGCATCCTGGTCGAGCCCCTAAGGTTCCTTTCATCCTTGCACTTGATAAATCCTTAGATTCTTAAAATAATTCCCCCATCTACAGGGTGGGGCAAAAGTATGTTTATAGTTGTTTGTACATAAAATAATACAATAACTAATAAATAATAAGACAACAATAAACTGTTACCCATACTCAACTGTAAACCTACGTTTGCCCCACCCTGTGTTTTTGCATAATGTAGCTCACACGTGTGTTACATCTAGAACAACTTAGAGAGTCCTAAAAAATACAAAAATTATTATACTTATTTTATACTTATTTTACAGATGCACACACTGAGGCCTAGGAAGGGCAAGTGCCTGTGAGTTATGATCTAAATTTAGATCTGTCTGAACCCACTGCCCTAGAACCGTCTCTTTTCTAACCATAATTTCTTTCAAAACTGCAAGTCTGAACCAGAAAGGCCTGGGTTCTCCTTGGCCTTAAAGGTAACAGCCTTCCTCTCTTTCCTCTCTTTTCTGGGGTCCTGAGGAGGGAGAATCAGCTGGTGAACTTGGGATCCTGGAGTTCCCCACTTGGAAAGCAAAAGGTCAAACAACCCACTCTCAAAACCCCAGGACAAAGCAGATGCCGCAATTACAGAACCTCCACAATGGCTGTGACGGCGTGGGGCAGAGTGAGAGGGAGAATGAGGGGGCGCGAAGGAGGGCAGAGCACACTTACGTTGACATGCCCCTCGCAAATATCTTTAGCCTCCTGCAGCGCGATGA